ATGCCGAGGTGTTGCATTCTACCTCTGACACGTGGGAGGAGATCTATGGACCCACATTACCATTCACCACCACAACCACCACAGGCAGTAGGAATGACTGGAGCCCAGAGGAAGTCCACTCTTCTGAAGAGGAAGAAGAAGGGGAAGAAAAAAACTGTGACGTGACTTGGAAGAAAAGCCGGAGGCTAGCAAAAGGGTTGATGAAATTCAGCATCGATCTCCTCAGAGAGGTCCAGCTGGAGACCAACAGAGCCAATGTGATCCTATCTCCCCTGAGCATCACCCTTGCCTTGTCTCAGCTGGCGCTAGGTAACTTATCAGTTACAAAAGCACCAGCTCCTGCCCTTCCCAGCACCCCCTCTCAGAGGTAGTAGGAGCTAATGTGCAAAATGCAGAGATTAAATACAGCGCCTTTCCCTTAATTTTACTCCTGTAGCTTTAATTAGCTTCTCTTACACTTGAAGCTGCCCTCAGCCATCCCACATTGAGGCGCCTGTTCTCAGATTTCTGCAGCCTCTTTTATAAGGCACTGTATGCTTCTAAAGGGGGGCAGCCAGAACGATGTCCCTCCTTTCCAGTACGTAGGTATGAACTAACAAGAATCCGACTCCACTTTTTAGGAGCAGCACATCAGACAGAAAAGAGTTTGCTGGAGGTGATGCATCTGGCATCAGTGCCCTGTCTCCATCACACATTAAGCAACGTGCGCAGGAGGCTCACAGAATCCTTGCTCAGCACTGCTTCACGTGTGTATCTGCAGAAAGGTGAGAGCTGGCAAAGGGGCAGCCTCCCCACAGCAGAATCAAACTCTCGCCAGAGAGATGTGGATTTTTTTTCCCCAAGTGCTCCTCCTGGCAGCGTCTGCCATGCGCTGGCTGAGCTACTGAACAATTTTTTTCAAGGACTGCTAACTTCATGTGGAATTCTTCCCTTCTACCAGGATTTGAGGTTAAAGAGAAGTTCCTGGAGGATTCAGAGAAATTCTATGGGGCAAAGCCTGTGACTCTTTCTGGGAACAGTGAGGAGGACCTCATGGACATAAACAAGTGGGTAGAGGAGGCAACTAATGGGCAAATACCCACCTTTCTACATCAGCTCCCTGGAAACACAGTGATGCTTTTGCTCAGTGCTATTCATTTCCATGGTGAGCTCCACTGGCCTTACTTTTCAAGCCTGACTGTCCTGAGGAATAGTTAGAAAGCTACTAGCTTCGCACAGACACCATAGTCGAATGGTGTATTCTTTCACTGCTTCCTGCTAGTCAATCTGCTTGTTCTTTTATTCCACATCTGCTGTTCCTCTTGCTTAGATTTCTTTACAGTAATGATTCCCAACTGTTTCACATGTGCTAAAAATGTTTCTTGACAGCAGAGCCAGAATGTAGCAGGTGGATCTGGAAGTATTTTTGCCTCCTGGTACAGGCTCCCAGACAGCAGCACATCACTGCTCATCCTAACCAGGTCACATGCAATTCACTGCATGCTGACCACAGAGCCCGGAGGCAGCTTCTGTGGGTTTCTTTCTGACTATAGGCCAGTAGTCTTGAACATTTTCCTCTTTTAATTCCCTGAGGGTTATGCATAGAAACATGGACCAAACACACAGAGATTTACTTCCTGGGTAAATCTGCAAATGTTTTGCTTGCTCTTGGAGCAGTTTCACAGTACTCAGCACAAAGGCAACTCTCTTCATTTGTCAAAGCACTTCACAAACATCCATTACTTTATCTTCATAGCCTTCAGTAATCTCCCACGCTAATGCATGAGGATTAATCCTGGTTCGCTTTGTTATTCCACAGTCCCTCTCTGGAAGATAAGAGCTTCCTGCTGTTAGGGTTCTCCCAGCCTTGGTACTAACTTCTTTTTGCTGTAATTTCTACTTATCTCATCACTATCTGCCTTCTCTGAGAACTCACGATAGGAGGAGTGTCGTCTAGGCAGTTTCTGTTTTCCTGCCTGAATTTAACTTTGTTGAATTTTCAACTTTTATGTTGATAGGGTTTTGGAGAAATAAGTTTGATGCTAGCCTCACTGGGCCAGACATATTTCACCTTGACAATGAGTTCATGGTCCCAGTTGAGATGATGAAAGCCCAGAAGTACTCCCTGAGCTGGTTTACACTGGAGTCCCAGGACATTCAGGTAAGGCTCTGCTAGGAGCACTCCTCTTGCTATTGCATTTCACTGAGTACAACTATTCTCTCCCAAAACCAAATGACTTTTCACAGGGATAGTACACATAAAAAGTTAATAAGCATCCTTTGTCCTTATTTCTAGCAAGAATGTTGAATCTTTGCTCGGTTTTGGGAAAACCATGAAGGGATAAGAACTAAGTGGGGAAATAATGGAGTTTTTAAGCTCCAAATTAAAGAGAAATGAGGAATATGGAAAATGAATTCCTCCAAACAATGTACAGTTGAATTCCTTCAGAATATGGCTACTGCAAGAGCAGCTACAATGTTTGTACACACCTTTTTTTCCTGTGTTTCATCTTTATGATACTGCTACTATTCCAGCAACACTTTCTTTCCCTGGAGAAATCAGGCAACTCCTTTCCACCAGATTGTTTTCTTCCTATGGCTAGACTGGCTCTGTACACAAATTAGAAAAAGAATAAATTAAAAGCATCACTATCTGGATTCCATCCTTCCTCTTCCATAAATTATTCTGATTGGCTTTATTTCCAGGTGGCCAAGTTTCCCTTTAAGGGAAACATGAGTTTCGTGGCCATTGCACCAAACCAGTTTAGTTGGAATGTCTCTCATGTGCTGGAGAACTTCCCTTATGAACAACTACGCAGCCTTTTCCCTAAAGAGGTACCCACCACAGTGAAGATACCCAAATTAGAAGTGGACTATCAGCTGGAACTCAACAAGGTTCTCAGTCAAATAGGTAAGACCTCTCACTGGACTTGCGCAGAATAAGTGAATGTGATCAATCGATAGAGCATCTGTTCACTAACACTCGAAACTGCCATCCTTGTTTTTAAAGCTGTGCCTCACAGCTTGTCCCAGATAACATCCAGAACCTTTCATCTCTTATTTCTCTCCTCCTCCTTCTTACTCTTTGCTTGTGTAGCACCAAATGTTTTGCTCCAACAAGATGATGATGGTACATTGAAGGCAGCATTCCCAGTTCCTCATGATCTTCGAGTTCTTTCCATTGCCCTAGTTCCTTGGCTCTCTGTTTTATTTCTAGCCAAGATCAACTTCCTCCTGTGTGTCAACCTTTAATCTCTTTCTTTGTCATTTAAATGTATAAATTGGATGTATAAATTGTCAAAAGAGAGAATGCAAATCATAAAACCTAGAATTAAGAGAGAGCCTACTGAAAAAAACACTCTGCTGAGATCTGACCGTGCTTTGTATTTCCAGATGAAAATAAATTAACAGACCCTGCTTATTTTAAAGAAATCCTGAAAAACAATATCCCTTCTAAAAGTGTTTCCAGCCTAGCAAGAAAGGGACTTCACACTTGCTGATGCTTTTTTAAGGAAGGGCCACTTACACTACTGCTCTAAAGGAGGTGGACAAAGCATGTAAAAACTGTTCTTTTTGGCACTCTGAGCTTTTCATGCAGTGAAGGGCTGGGGAATCTGGCCAGAATGCAGCTTTTGTTTCTGTTGCCTGCCTGTTCTCTAGTCCTCCGTGTTGGACAACACATGTAGCAACAGGTTAGGGAATTGCTTCCTTCAGATAGCCTTGAGAAAAATCAGAGCTGGCGGCTCACTGTGACACCAAATGGGGAAGGTTAACTTTGCCTGATTTCTCCATAGGCCTCCGGGAGTTGTTCACAAGCCCAGATCTGCAGAAGATCACAGATGAACCTCTCTTTGTATCCAGTATACAGCACCAGTCTAAACTGGAGCTTAAAGAAGACGGAGTGGAAGCATCTGCTGCTACCAGCGTCATGCTGTCACGGTCACTCTCTGCCTTCAGCCTTGACCGACCCTTTCTCTTCATTATCTTTGAGGAAGAAACAGGCATCCCACTTTTCATAGGCAGCATCCAGAACCCTAACCCCAATGCTACTCCCCAGATAAAAGAGCCACAGGGCTCACCTGAAGTAACGGATGTCACTGAGAATCCTGTGCCCAAATAAGAGAGGAGCAGAGCCTAGGAGTTCTGGGACTGCTACCCACCTGACCCTTTGGACCAGCTAAGGGAGGCCTCCTGTTGCTGGAGACCTCCCTCCAAGGCCATAGCAGGCAATCCCTTGCTGTTTCCTTTACAGATCCCTAATCCCAGTCCTGGGATATCCCATTCCAGCCTTGAGAAGCTTCTCCTGGCTGGGTTCCCTCTCCTGACCCTGAAAAGCATGCTCTGCCTAGATTTCCCTTTCAGGGCTCTCAGTCCTGGAGGAAGGCTTCCTTGTCCACAGACTCTAATTATTAGAGTCTTTATTAGACTCTCATTAGAGTCTCCCATAGCCTGGAATCTTCATTAGCATCTGGCAGCTTGGACAACAGCCAGAGATATTAATATTGCCCTTCCCTCCGCAGTTCCTGTGAGCATGCCTTCCTCAAAGTGTCTCTTTGTACCCACACAGAAAATGATCTCTGAATGAACTGGACTAGTAACCAGTTGTCTTCCCTGGGATGAGTCACTGCCACTTCCAGGCACAGGCTCTTTCCAAATATTCCTTTTTCCCCACTCCTTGGCTATTGGGATCTGTTGTTGGAAGGTCCGCAGTAATGGGAACCCCTTTGGATCCCTATCTCCAGCCCTTTTCCTGGGAAACTCTAGGGTCTTGGGGAAATGTTAGATTTTTCACGGCATATTTTGTAAAGTATTTTTTAGTAATTTTTATGTCGGCAGAATAATAAAGAGTGAAGCAGAACACGTTTGCTCTAGGCATTGCATTGAAAGACCCAGCAGAAAAAGGACATAGGCAATCAGCTTGACTGGTTGCAAAGACTGGGGCGGGGGGAGGGGAGGGGAGTCTGGGCCTGAAAGATGTAAAGATAGGAGGTGCTCTTGAGAAGGATCCGCTCTTTGCTTATCACAGAGGACAACAGGGCATGCAGGGTAAGAGGGCTAATCAGTAAAGACTCTCTAAAGACCAAGTCCAGTCAGCTTTGGCCATCTCAGCTTAAGAATGTGCAGGGAACTCTTCAGAGCTGGCTTTGGGTAAAAGGCAGAACTCTTTGAATTAGGACCTGAGCTCCATTGCATAGGGATCAGGAGGATATTTAGCCTATGAACATCAATGCATTGGTATATAGGGATGTGAAAGGCCTTAATTTTTCTGTGGAGCAAAAACTGACCCTTGCTGACATGTACTAGGTGAATCAAAGGTGCTCATCTGGCATCTGCTATCTGTGGCCTGTCCTCCTACTGGGATACTATGGGTGTGCAGCATAATGCTATGGACAGTTGTGACAGCTTCCAGCGGAGGCAGGGGCAGACTGTGCTGCCTGCAGCTGGGTGTCACTGCTTTTACCCTGTTCTGACAAAAGGCAGCTACAGCTTCAATTTTGTATGAGATGGGCAAAACTCCTTGGGTCCTTGTTCTGATGTAACAGTGCATATCTGAAATAAGCTACTATGAATGACTCTGGGGAACCCTCCATCTCACCAAGTGATCCATACACTTAAAAATGGGAGTCTATCTCACCATAGCCTGCCATGCTGTAGCTATTTCTATGTAAAACAACTGCTGTCCATAGTAGATTCTGCTTCAGAACTTGCTCAGCTTCTGGAAAAAAACCATGGTATTTTTGAGAAATAACAGTTACAGAGCCCCACGGCTGTCCTTCTGGCAGTGTTTTCCTCACTCGGGAAGTCTGCCTTCCCTCAAAGGAAGGCGCAGAATGCTTCTGGGAGCCTCTGTCCCTGAATAGTCTGCACCATCTGCTGGAATAAGAGGAGGACTGACTCACTAACCATGAATTTCGGGGGCACAGAAGACTTTGGGGAAGAAAAAGTCCTGGCTCAAACCTGCAATTACACGTTTCTTACAGTCTAAAAGGGGAAAAAGGCTAAAGATAATACCTACCCCTGTGACCAATGTGATGACACGTAGCCTTCAAAAACAGGGTGTAATTACAGGGCCGTGTAATTTAACAAGTAAACCCACAAGAATCCAGCCCTACTACAAGGGCACAGCTCTAGCCCACGGGGAACATTTTAGTTCATTTATTTATACAGATTCATTCCTAACGTTCAGAAATACCATCCCATGCCTTAGGTAAGTCCTGCTTTGGCTACTGCAACCTTAGCTCTAATCTTCCTGGATTCCATTTTGTTGCACTGCATCCTGTCCCAAATTTGAAACAGAAATCTTTCTTTTCTGCCTCTGCCCTCCAGCTCCCCCTTCTCTATGAAGTTTTTGTTTTCCTCGTTCTCAATTCCCTGAACAGCTTGGTTCTTATTTCCTATTTTCCTCTTTTTTCTACCATCCCTCCTCTTCTCCTCCTCCAAGTTATTCTTGTCAAACTATTTGTTTCATCTTATTTGACAGCAGCCCTCCGTGACTGTGCTTTGCTCAACAAATTATCAGTTACATCAACCTTGAGACCCTTTTCACTCCACTGACTCTCCAAAAGAGGCAGTTTGTGAAATGCAAAGTAATATTAATATCTCTGCTCAGGCATTTTCACTTTGCCTTGCTAAGCCTTCATTTTAATTCAGCTCCGTTCTGAAAAGACATGACAGGCCCCCTTGCTCTGTAACTTAATCTGCATCACTAGGTGAAAATATCAAATATTTCTGAATGTCTTTAGTATTAGAAGTATTCTTTTCTTACTAAAGTAAATTCATATGAACGTCATACAGAACTTCCGTAGCAAAATGCCAAGCACTGTTCAGATAGCATATGGCCTGCTATCTTGAACCTAAACCAAAACAGCAGTATCTATAACATGTTGGTATTGATTTAAAGAACTGATTTAAACCCTTACATCCGTTTAGAATAGTATAGCACGCTGTTTGAGGGATACGCTCTACCTACAGGAATAAAGCTTGCTTTACACTACAATAACGTTCTATACAACTTTCACTAAGACTCAGACGGCTTAAAACCAAACCTTTATTTAAGCTGATCAGGTTTCAGGTTTCATTTGAAGATACAGATAAGATGTAAAAGCCCCTCCAAAGGCCCTTCCATAAAGGGCACATTAATTCCAAAAATAATGTATCAAAAAAGAGAAGAAAAACATCGGAAGAACACATCGCCATAGCTAACACCCTCTCTCTTCGGCACATGGTAGAAGATTAACAAGTACAAACATCTTTCTGCAGATGACTTCTCACAAAACAAGCTGAGAAACAGTTGAGAATAGAGCTGTTACTCTTCTTGTTGAGAAAGCGTCACCTTTGAAGCACTGACTGATCAGAAGGCAGACTTGCTGATTTGCTTTTCCTGCTTGCAAAAGCAGCAGCTTATGATTCTCCAAAGCCATCTCTTCCTTTTAGCTAAGGGACTGTAGGAGCTGAGTGAAAGCATGCATGACTATTCCTCGTAACCTGCTGGCAGCCCAAAAAGATGTCCCAAGACAAGCCTAGACTGGGGGCACCGACTTTACTGGCTACAGTTTACTTTCAGCATTTCCAAGCAGACGAACTTCGGCAGCTGCCCTGGATCGTGCTAGCTATGGGTCCATTTAGCCCAGCATCCTGTCTCCACCAGGAGCCAGTAACAAATGACTAGGGAAGGAATACAAGAAACGGACAGGGAGGAACAATTGTTCTCTGATTGTCTCTCCCAGCTCCTGAGTCAGAGGCTGCATCCGACCATTACGTTAGCCTTCAGTGGACCTGTCTTCCACTATTTTTTTTCTTAATCCATTTATCTTTTGTCTTCTGCAATGTCTTGTTGCAATGAGTTTTATAAAGGAATACTTGTGAAAAATGCACTTTTGTTTTAAACTTGCTAATACCGATGGGTGCTCCTCTTGACTTTTGTGCTGTGAGAAACAGCGAATAAGCAGAGCCTCTTTCCCTTCTCCAGATGATTTATCGTTCTATAAACTCCTGTATCATTCCCTTCCTTCGTCCCTTTTACTAAGAGTCCTAGGCTTTTTAGTTTCTTTTTCTTCACCGAGAAGTTTAGGCCACTTAACGTTAAGCACTTCTTTGTCACTGGCTAGAACCACTTCTGAATATCTTTCCCTCAACTGTAACCGAATCCTGCTTCCACTTTAGAAGTCTCTCGGTTAAATCTGAAAATGCCGCTATATAAATAGCACCGTTAACAATACCTCTGGGACCAAATAAATTCCCTCTTGGGACATAAGGCAAAACTGAGGGGATAAGAGGCTTGCTCAAACATGGCAGGGAAGAGCAGACCAACCGTTTGGCTCTCAGTCCTGAGTTTTAACTGCTAGACTGCCCTTATCACACCAAGCACATGTTTTGGAATCTAGGGTTGAAAAGTTAGCACCAGTGCAGCGACAGGATCGCAGTCCCGAAAATGGGAGCAGAGCACTTTAAGAGAGCCCTGGGAAGCTGTAACCTGAAGCCTGCGAAGGCTGGGCTGGGGCAGGCAGCAAAAAGCAGATGTGGCTGCACCAAAGCCGCACTGCCCCCGACTCGCCTGGTGGGAACCTGTGCGGCAGTGGCCAAGAGGAGCCCGAGGTAAGGGGCAGCTCAGGCTGCTTCCACTGACCTTTCTCAGAGCCCGCGGCGAGGGGAGTGCCAGGAGGGCACAGGGATGAGACTGGGGACCTGGCAGAGGACCTGGGAAAGGGGAAGAAAGGGACTTCTGCAGGTGTCGAGGGGTAAGACTGGAACCAAATGAGGGATCTTGCCAAAGGGCTGGGAGCCACCAGCATCTGAGGGCCCCTTGTTGCCTGCAGGGCAGAAGCGTGCTTAGGAGCTGGGGCAGTGTTTCGCGCCCCCCCCCCCCAGCAACTGCGCTGCAGCAGGGAGGAGGCTTTTTCTTTGCAATAGTAACAATTTTTCATCAAAACTGAGTTGAATGCCCTAGATTTAGTGGCTGCAAGATGCTTCAGAAGTAGTTAGCACCATGGGATGGTGCAATCACAGTCAGCAAGTCTGAACTCGTGGGCGATGTTTTAGAGGACCCCTAGAACAAGAAGCATTTATAAATGATTTGAGACTTGAACCACTACAGACGGAAAGTGAAATATTTCACCTTGTACCTGCAGGGCTTTACAAACAGATAACTCCTAGGCAGAAGGTTTCTTCTCAGCTCATTTCTCTAAATTATCTTCCTGACTGTAACATCACATGCTGCATGCTACTGCTTCTTCCTTTCTTTTTAAGGGCAGCTACAAATTTTAAAATCATGCCTGAAACCATCCCACCTCTACTCCAACCAAATTCTTTCCTCTCTGCAGTTTTGGCTGTGCGCTCAGAGACATGCAAATAGCCTCCAGATGTTCAGGCCCATTCAAATGCAAAAGGCTTTGTCTTTCTAAAATGGAAATTACTTTTTGGCAAAGTCTGAGAAATATGAAGCTGGTGACAGTACTGGCAAAAACAATACAAATCTGGAAATCCAATCTCCGCCCAGATACTCCCAGGAGCTCAGTGTAGTTGGAAGCAGAGGTTGCGTTCAGCCTTTTTTCAGAGAAAAGGCTACATTCCATGGAAAACTTTCATCTCCAAACTAGACTGGGCCAAACCTCTTCCACTCAGCACGCAAGAATACCGCTTGGTGCAGGCATCCTCACAAAGCCCTGTCAAAGACCTGCTTAACTTAGGCTCTTGCAGAGCTTCTGTCATCTCTGTTTCAGCATGCTGGCTATTCATTTTAAAACTATGCAATGAGATATGATCAGTCTCTACATCACATCCAATACCATACCATCAAACGCGTTGGTTTGTTCCAGTATAGTACCACCTCTCGATATGCATCTTCTCTACCAGAATACCTC